GATTTTCTATTTGATGGCTCTGTAACCAAGCAAAATTGAAGGCTATAAAAATTATGTTTTGTGTGAGCAATCACAATTTTACAGGTAGTAATTTACATTTAATTTCACATTTTTGAAGGGATGGTGGATAAAATAGAGAAGAGAATATACCTAGAGAAAATGTGTCACATTAGGGGAAATTCAGGATTTTTTTATATATTGCCTTATATAATTAAGAACTTAAAACTTGTATACTATTAAAATATGAATTATTAGTTAAGATTTTATGCTACTCTAATTGGTATAACATAAACAAAAAGTAGTTTAATAAAATTTTAAATGTAAGACACTAAAACTTCGTGTCATGCTCAGTAAAGATACTCGTGGCAATAGAGTTAATCAAAACTGGAATTGTTTAGAGTAACTGCAGTTATAACATAAACTTCATGCAAAGTCAATTTTTCATTGTTTAGAATTCTTGTGAGAAAGATGTTTTTCATATTGTTGATGTCTAAATTAAGTGAAAATACAAGTGGTATAACTATAAAAGTAATAACTTTTTAAAAACATAATTAGAAAACAGGCACCTCATTAACCAATGCTTTTTTTTAATATTCTTAATATCATTGCAAATAACTATAACAATTTAATTTCAATTAACAAGTTCAAAATGTCTGTTTCTCATTTTATTTTCATGTCAATCACATTACTAGCTGGATTATAACCTGACTGAGCTAATCATTTACAGAATAAATTAATATTGTTTTAACTGTTTGATTTATTTAGATTAATTTACTTTAGAAGAATATATGGCCAACATGTATTCATCCAAAATACAATTTTACAGTAGAGGTCTCTTCTTTCATGTAAAAGATACTGAAAATGTTGTCACAATGTTAGACAGCTAGCTTTGAAAAAGTTAACTGGTATCATACTATCACTGTAAAAATGAAGCAATACTGCAGCTAGTACAAAATAGACTTTCTGGTTTTATTCTTATTCACTTGCTAATGGTTTTCAAACTTTGTAAGTTAGTATTATAACCATCAACAGTTTTATTTTACTAAATAAATTTTAATTCTAATTTTTATGTTGTTTGACTTTTAAACTACATTACTTAAAGAATACTAAAAAATACTAGGTTTTTACCTTGGCTAAATACTTGTTTGCCTACTAAATAAAATAGGTTATGAGTATTCATTTCACTTGGTTGGTTACAAAGTGGTTGAGTAACTGAGTAGTTATAGATGTAACACTTAAAGTTACAATACTGCCATAAACATGCTTATAAATATAAAAAAACAATACTGAATTGTCTGGAATTAACAAGTATGTAAAAGTGTACACAGTAATGTGGAACAGGTGAGTAACAACACAGGCATGCTATGGTTCTATTGTTTTGAAATTTTTACATGTTCTGTATGCTGAATCTGAAAATGATATCCATTTTTCTCCATCATGTACAGATGTCTGAAAAACATCAAATATACTTTTACATAAGTGAATCATCTTCACTGAAATTGGGTCACATTTTGTTATGCTTAAAATGTTGGCAACCACTGGCTATAGATTTCTCTAGACCAATTGTGACATGAGAGTCTTATCGATCATTCTAGAACCCATCAAAAACACACCGCTAGTATATAAACGGTTAACAGGACACATGATGCGTCATATTTGGTTAGTATTTGTTTGTGCATGCACTTTGACATTATTTTTCTTTTCAATATTATTTATTCGTTGCTATGGCAACAAGAGGTTGTGTAAATTACCCAAACATATTCTGTTATATTTGTGGTAAATCTGTTTTAAAGAAACAAAGGCAAAACATTACAGAAAATCATCAAACAAGTGTATTACACATATTTTGGAATAAAACTTGGGGACCAAGACAAATCATGGGCTCCACACAAAGTTTGCACCATTTGTGTCGAAGAGTTGAGACAATGGACTAAAGGTAAGAAAACATCTTTGCCTTTTGGAATTCCAATGGTTGGGCATGAGCCTAGAAACTATGGAGATCACTGCTATTTTTGCTCATGCAATGTTGCAAGGCTACAACATCAAAATAGAATGGAAATTTCTTATCCAAACCTTCAGTCTGCTATAAGACTTGTTGCTTATGGACCTGATGTACCTGTACCTGCTCCACTGGAGACTCTTGATACAGTTTCATCTGATGTCAATAGAAATGATAGAGATTGTTTCCAACCTGAAATGTCTGGTGAACCACAACTTTTCACACAAGGTGAACTTAATGATTTGGTGAGAGATTTTGGGGCCCAGACTTTGGGCTAAGAAGTTACTTTCTATAGGGACATCATTTTACTGGTACAGTAATTGAGAGAAAGAGTTTATACCATACTTTTCGCAAGAAGGTTCACTGGTTTATTGCAATAATATTGCTGAAGTAAAACCAATCCTTGGAGCTGCAACTGTTCATTGATTCCTCCAAAAGAAGTCTAAAAAGTGTTTTCCTTCACAATGGTAACATATATGCATATGTCACTTTTGCTCATTCTGTTCACTTGAAGGAAATGTACGAAATTCTCGAACTTCTTCTTAATAAGGTCAAATACAAAGAACATTGTTGGCTACTTTGTGGAGACTTAAAAGTCCTTTGTATGTTGTTGGGTCAACAATCCGGTTATACAAAGTTTCCATGTTTTTTGCGTGAATGAGACAGCAGAGCATGAAATCGGCACTAGATAAAGAAGCATTGGCCACACAGATTCAGCCTGATACCAGGATCCAAAAATAATGAACATGAAAGTTTGGTTGCAACAAAGAAAGTCCTATTACCACCACTTCACATAAAACTGGGCTTGATGAAGCAGTTTGTAAAGGCCTTAGACAAAGATGGTGACTGTATCTATGTGAGCAATTCCCAGCTCTTTCAGAAGCAAAACATAAAGAAGGAATTTTTGTTGGGCCTCAGATTAGGAAATTGACTTCGGATGAACAGTTCGAAAGGACAATGAGGAAAGTTGAAAAAGAAACATGGATTGCCTTTACAGATGTTATTGACAAATTTTAAGGAAACAACAAGGACCCAAATTACGAATATTTTTCAATAACATACTCAATAAATTCAAAGAGTTGGGTTGTAAGATGAGCTTGAAAGTTCATTTCTTACACTCCCATATTGACAATTTCCCTGAAAATCTCTGTGCCATCAGAGAAGAACAAGGGGAAAGGTTTCATCAAGACATCAATGAAATGGAGAGGAGGTATCAGGGAAGGTGGAACATCAGTATGATGGCTGATTACTGCTGGTCATTGAAATGAGATGCTCCAGACACAATACATAAAAGAAAGACCACTACACGCAGTTTTAAGACTAAAAGACATGGATTTCACAAAAAAATCAGAATGAATGAGGATGCATATTCGTTTGACATTAATGTTCTTCCCTTTTCTTTAGTTTGTTTGTATTTTTGTTAAAAAACATAATAATAAAAATGTTCATTGTGGTAAACAAAATAATAATTTGATCTAAGTAAGAATTTTTTTTCCTCCTAATTTGTAATAAATCCTTATGTGATAGACAAAAATAAATATTACTTTTAAAATCTGTATAGCTGAATTATAGAAAATCCATTATTAAAACTAAAACAACTTTTATAGAGTTTAAACTTGTAGGCCTGTGTAATTCAATAAATCTTTTTTTTCTAAATATTAAACAACGCAGTTGTTTTGCATGTATGATTTTCATATACAAAGTCTAGGATTAAAAAGTCTGAAGGCAGGGTTTCCACTGGCTTTTCGTATTTTTTACCACTTGGTAAAAGTTCATGAGAAACAAATATTGAAGTTAATGTTATATTAATTCTAACTATATTTTTAACTCAATAATATTTTACAATAGATAATTTGTCACTATCTGATATTTACTTAGTGTAATTCGTGAAGAAGTTAATATTTTCATTTCTGCAAAGAGTTTTGCTTGTAAACAAAACAATCCATATGTTGATTTCTTTTAGAATTTTTCTACCCATCCCAAAGAATAACTATTTTTGCTAAGAACCTATCACTCCTTGAGAATATATTATCCATTTCTTGATTTTCAAACATTTCCTTGAGTTTTTGTACAGACCTTGATTGAAATCTTGCTATGGTGCCACATCTGAGGTTTGATCATTTACTAATCAAACACAGCTTTGAAAGCAGTCACAAGAAATGTTTAGATATGATTGGATAAAACAAGAATTAGACTATCACACAACAGTAGAATAAACATATAGTTTTTTTACAGTTTCTGTTCCATTCATTTGTAAATCGTGAAAGTATTTTTGCATGTTAAACTTTATCTGTTTGAAAGCTACAGAAATTTTCTTCATTGAGAAGATATCAGATAAGTTGAGATAAGCTCATACAGTTTAGAGATGGGGTGAATGGATAACAAAGGAAACTTTATTATAAGTTTAACACATGAACAAATGTACAATTTCTGGAGAAGGTTTTATCATCATCAGGTACAAGTAGTTTACCTAGACACAAGAAAATATATTTAGTATGAAACAAATCACATGACTGGATATTGTTTAAGGCTTAATTTCAAATTATGGTATTTCTACTTTTTTTATAGATATACCGTGGTTTTAGTAAGTTGCAATTTTTATTACATTCACTGAGTAAAATAAAATCGACATCAAATCAGATAAGTTTATTGTGCAGTGAGTATGGCAGGCAACTAACAAATATTCTGATGACTCAAGTTTTATTGAATATCACTTATATGTTTATCCTATTCAAACGACATAAATAAACAAATTGGCTAACTGGTTATATCTTTATTTCTAATTGCAACTGCGATATGTTTTAAATTTAAAAAAATAGTTACCTGTATCAGTGATAGTCAAGCATGCTTTCAATATTTAATGATCCATTTATTTGATTTACAGATGATTATTGTAGGGTTACTGCATATTTTAAAAATAAACATAATGACAACCACGTGCTGGTATTTAATCAATATTAGTGATTCATTAGCCAAGTATGAAATGTCCAGATTATCTTCAAAAAAAAAAGGTAGCAAAATATGTTTTTATAAGATGCACAAATGGTAAGCTTCAGAAGAGGTGTATGATATGAAACCAAGGGTGATTTTAAAATTATGTAAAAAAAAACGTGAACAAAAATAGGAAGATTAATAACAATTTTCAAATAATGCAGTAGTTGAAAAAGTAAGAAAGAAATTGTTGTTTGTAATGGAGGGGGGGGGGGAGTTTGTAGAGGGAATGTACTAATCAATTAACAAGCCCACTAACTGCCCAACTCTACTTATATATATGCACATAAACAAGCAGCTGTAACCCCATAACCTCTTACTCTTTTCGGTAGCAATCAAAACTTACACACAGTAAAAGCAACCATAATCCCATAACTCCTGACTATTATACCTAGAAATAGACACTTCTACACAGTAACAGATACTAATATGCACATAAACAAGCATCTGTAATACCATAACCTATGACTCTTATAGCTAGAAATGGATGCTTCTACACAGTAACTGATACACATATAAACAAGCAGCTATAATACCACAACTTCTGACATATATGCAAATAAATAAACACACTTACATCTAGAAATAAGCAACTGTGAAGAGTAAATGATATACTTTAATATATATATATATTTAATCAAACAACTGAACACAACCTCTGACCCACTCTAACACCTAGAAATAAATTACTCTAAAGAGTAAATGATATACACTGATATATATACAAACACCTATGCACAACCTCTAGCTCACTCTTACACCTAGAAATAAACAATTATGAAGAGCAAATAATATACACTGGCACATATACATTTAAACAAACAACTAAACACAACCTCTCGCTCACTCAAACACCTAGAAATAAATAACTGTAAAGAATAACTGATATTTAAACAAACAAATGTAATTAAATAACCTCCGACTTATTTTTAAAACTAGAAATAAACAGTTGAAAAAGTTAATGCAAGTTAACTGCCTGGTGTTTTAAAACTATTTTTGTAAAGCAAAAATTACCTGTTACATCCATCTCTCTTTCCAACTCATCATTTTCTATAAATTCTCCTGAAAAAGTTAAGTAGAAGTTGAATGAGTAACAAGAATAGATAAAGTTGCTTTCAAATTATTTAGTAATGATTCCTTTTGTGTTGTGAAGACTTAGCTATCACAGATTTGCATTCAAAAAAGAAAGTTTTAAAATCAAACAAAAAATAGAATCCTTACTTGCAGTCTCCTCAAATGCAAAAGCTCCTGGATGAAATTCTGGAGAAACTGATATTGATGGAAAGCTCCTATTCTGGTGTAATTCTGCTGATGCTGTTCCATTCATTTCTGAAGATTCCCTTGAACCTGCCCAACTCATAGTTCTTGCCACTTTCCTTCTATAATAATAAAAACTTTACCATAATTTGTAAACAATTCAACAAAATTCCAAATTTTTAGTCTACATTTATAAAAATTATATCACAGTGTCATTTGTTTTATAAATGTAGACTAAAAATTTGGAACCAGAAGATATAATGCTCAAAATTCACATCACATCATGCTTAAAAACATTAGGAAAAATAAAAACAGTTCCTACCAAGTAAAATTATCTATAGAAAAGTTAAATTTTACACAATCTCATTAACCTATTTTATAGTACAAAAAAGCAAAGAACATCACTTATTACCTATTTCTTTATAAGCAATTAATAATTGCATGATAGATTTTGAAATCAGCTAATTCCAGATCAAACAGTCAGATAAACATTCAAGCATGACTTATTTCGCTTTTCTATGAAACCTACTCAGAAACCTATTACACATAGAAGATTAATTTGAACATGAAACTTAGATTTTATTATCTTTATGTTTAATTGTTGTTGTTAAGTTATCCAAAGTCTCTACAAATTATAAAAAGATATGTATACCTTTGCTTTTACCAAAATTATTTTCAAGTCAGTAACCACACTTGACTATCTGGTACAACCTGAAGAAAACTACATATCTTAACACACAGTTGTAATTCTCTAAAGCTTAAAAGTTTTATCAATTTCTAGCTAGTGTTTCAGAGTTGAAAAAGAAAAAACATTAAAGAATTGAAAATATGTGAGGAAGAGAACGAGTAATCTTGAGCAGTCTAAGCATCCCAAATCAAACTGTATTTCAAAACTATTAAACTTGAAACTCTAACAAACAGATTTCTGTTTTTTCGATATATTTTATATAAGACTAGCCTTCTATTTGATTAATGCAGCCAACAGTTTCCTTCTTTTTACTTGTTTGATTCATTTGAAACAATTATTGCTTCTATCTCATTCTTATTAATAACTAACTTCTCCTTGTCTTTTATGGTTCAATGTGAATGTGGTTCATTGAACAAAGAATAATATGTTTTTGACTAAACAGTTCCTTAACCTCGAGTCTTTTGTTGAGGATGGGGATCACTGGGCCAAGGATAATATATTTCTGACCAAAGAGTTCCTTAATTCTGAGTGTGTATTTCATGGTTTACGTTACTGATTAAGTTTCAACATTTATGTAGCAAGACACAGAATCAGTAATGTCTCCCATGCAAAGAGCAGAGAAAGGCTTTAGCCATTTTATGAATGGCTGAGTAATAATTCTTCTCATGACCTCAGATCACCAATGATCCATCTTCACAGGATTACCATCAATATCTACACAGCAATGACAACACAATTCAACCTGGTATTGATCTTTCTCTAACAAATAGTTTGTTTTATCTTCTCCAACACAACATAGATAAAAAAAAACTCTGCCAACTTCTTCATCCTGATGAGAAAACTGGTATGTCCTCTTGTAAGTGGATCCAGTACAATCACTTACCTCAAAACTAAATTTCTAGTGACACAACTGTCACAGCTCATCTATTTGAGCACTTGGTTCTTATGCATTTGTCTGTAGTGATCCAACTTTCACCATCTATCTAGTTTGGAACTGATTCCTATGTCTTTTGACTACAAATCTAGACTAATCTGTTGATCACTTCTCATCTTCTTAAGATGAAAGAAAGCCAGTGTGTTTCACTCAAACTATAAATAACAATTATATGAAACATGTAGAGCTTCAACATTCTAT